TTAGTTATCTCATTTTTTTTATTTCTGTCAGGCATGTAGGCGACTGGGGAAACGTAGAAAGAGATTCTGATGGAAATGTTGTAACAGCTTTCTTGGACTCTGTTGCTTCACTTTGGGGACCAAACACTATTATTGGAAGGGCCATTGTTGTGAGTAGTCTCCAATATAAATAATAAGCAAGTACCGAACACCGCATCTTATAAAAACAAAAACAAGGGCTTAGACAAAATTAATGTCATCTAAGTGAAACTTCATAAAAAATTTGAAATGGGGATTTCAGAATACAAAACATTAATATGCCCTTAATGTAAAGACATAACGTGATATTACACTCTCAGTCTGTACACCGTGTCATCTTCTCATTACAAGAACTATATACTATTTACCAGATTCATGCCAGTGAAGATGATCTGGGGCGTGGAGGGGACAAGGGAAGTAGCCTGAGCGGCAACGCTGGACCAAGGTTGGCCTGCTGTGTGATAGGAATTTCTAATGGTAACAACCTGTTACAACAGGGATGATAAAAACTGGACAGTTTAGCCAATTTTAATATTCAGATTCCAGTGTTATTAAAATTTGATCTGTATAGTAATCAAGACATACTAATCAAATAACACTAGAGACTAATTTCATGTGTATTGCAGCTTATCCCATTTACACCTCAACTGAGAGGTTAAAGTCAGATTATTCTGAATGCTTACTGGATTATACTGCACCAAAATATTTTTGATGTTAAATAAAAAACATGTCTACATTTAGAAATTGGTGCATTTTTTTCTTTATTTACTTTCCCTAAATGAGTTTTACAGATGCATGATGTTAAATGAAAAAAAAACAGTTTCAAAGTTTTTTCTATATTGCATGATTTATATGAATACACCACAACCCTTCTTCGTTCTTCATTTTTAACTAATGGGCATGTGTATTTGAAAAATAAAGGGGTAAAACAATTATCATAATGTTGCACTTTTTAAATAGTTCACCAAACATAAGCTTTGGTTAAACATAGTTTGTAAATGTTTCCAAGCTTGCGCCTGGCTGTTGCCTAGTAGTTGGGCTTGCTCTAGTAACTGCTGGTCATTAGCAATCAACTCCCCATGCAGCTGTAATTAGAATGAAATTTACCTATTTAGTCTTAAATCATGTATATTTTGTTGAAAATAGAATATAAAAATCAATGAAACATAACAATAAGATTTGAATTGCAGCTAGGTTGTGAAAGTGTTAAATCTCACAAAACACAAAAATAGTTGTAAAACATCAGAATTTCCAGTAGTGTATGTGTATCTTAATCACAGTAATTTTGAAGATCAGTAACTTAAAACTCTTGGTAAACCTTCCCATAACATAATTAACACAAACCTTAAGAAATAAACCCAGATAAGCTTGTGCAAGTTCAAAGTCCTTTTTGGAATCCAGAACATCGCTGATGAACTTCAGGAACTGCACCATCAGGGCTACAGACCCCCCTGCCTCTGGAGCCAGACCCCTTAACTCTACGTCAATGGCTGCAGGACTGAGCTCCTTCAGCTTGGACAGTACTTCTGATGCTAAAATGGAGATAATTGCCTTTGAAGATAGAACGTTTGGGACTGAAATCATTACTGATATAAAGTTGTTGATTTCAACAGCAGAGATAATGTAGCAGACTAGTACCTGGATAGGATAGATGAACAGTTAGTCTTTCTCCAAATTTGTAAACAATATATACCCTCTCCATATCAGTTTGACCATTCTCTCCCCCCCCCTCACCAATCAAAAAAGCTAAATAAATAAAATGTCTTTGCTGATGTAGTTATTCAAAATGGTGATCTGAATAAAAAAGAACTTACTGTTCCCATTTGATGCTGACATCTTTAACAATTTTCCAAATTCTGTCAAGTTTTGAGTTTCTGTGAGTTTGGAAATATGAGAACCCTCCTGAAAGGTAGTTAGAAATTATGTAGAAAAACGTGTGTAATTAGTCACAAATTTAAACACTTCACATTGACCAATATATTATCTTTCAATGATTAATGACTTTTAAGTTACTCATTATAATTGTTTATGATACTACCTTGGACAAAAGAACTGCAATCTCAAAAATAAGTCAAGATATAATCATTTGAAATTCTTTGATATGAATTACGTTACATATCTGGACCTCTATACATTTCAAGCCTCAAATTCATACAGGTACAGACTCCACTTTCTATACAATAACCTTGTTAGCAACAATTCCTTCATCTGCTGGTGCAAACTTGAACTCCAGTCCTGGTACAGTAGGGAGGAAGAACGGGGCAGATTTGGGCACTTTGGGTGGTTCTTTGGGTTTATTCCTTTGCTACAAACACAAATAATCATCATAAGAGAATCTTATATAACCTGACAAAAATAATTTTTGGGAAGAGGGAGGTACTCTGAAATATTCAAAATTTATAGTTCAGGTCTAATCAATATATCACCTTTAAGTTGAGAAAATCTGTTATAGGCCTTTGGAAAAATAATTTTAAAAAAGAATGCTGCTCTGAACTGCTATAAAATTGCTTGTTAATGTTATTCAGGGTTTGATATTTCCAAAATACTCTAAAGTAATTTCTTATATATGATCACGTTCCAAAGGACTAGCATGTCAACACCTCATCAAACAAAATGTTATATATATAAATAAAGATGTAGTGTACCTTGATTATGTCAAGATGGAGGAGATTCTGCCACCTAGAGTTGGGAAGAAGTGACAAAGTGACCAACTCATCCGATATCTGGGCTGGTGATTTGAAATCTGATGTCACATATTCTACATCCTCCTCTCTCTCTTCTGGAGCACCTTGATATAAATTGGCATTTTTGTAAAAAAAAAAAAACACGATCAAAACAAAAACAGAGAAACACAGTATATGGTAAAATATGTGCACTTTTTAAATTAACTGTTGTTGTAAGCATCATCTAATGATTTTAAAAAAATTCTAAGTGACTGAAGATTATATTATAATATAATATTTTGAATTTCTTACAACCCACACACTGATCAACTTGACAGAAATCATTCTCACCAACCAAATTCATTCTTACTAAATTATAAGTGCATTACTTCCACATGTATTACCTTGAGACTTTCTGCTGGTGGATGGCATCTCCATTGTGACTGGTTCAAAGTCACTAGGCAGTGGCCTGAGAGGGACATGTGTGTACAATGTCTTGTTTGACCACAGATATATCCCTAGGTCATCTACATGGGTGGTGGCCAGAAAGTCACCAGTAGAGGACATGGTCAGACTGGTCACTGCGGCATCCAATGCAAAGCAATCTAATAACCTGTACAAAGAGGTTCAATGATTTTTAAAAATTTAAATGATACAATAAAAAAATTGAAGAAAAATATAAACAAGAGATCACGACCATGTCATGTTTTAACCCTGCAAAAGTCAAATATATGAATCAATGTTAATGATCTCAAAAACATAATCACTTGCAATTAATTGCAATATCTTACGTGAGTATCATCAAAAACCCACTGTTATTTTCACAGAAGTAACAACATGACATTACCATAGTCTTTATCATCCCTTACCGTCCAGTTGGAAGGTCCCATGTCCTGACCAAAGCATCCATTGAGGCAGTGACCAACCATCTGGAGTCTGGACTAAAAGTCTGTTGTATACAAATATTGAAATCATTTTATTGCATATTCATAGTGCTATTGCCACATGTACAAAAGAACCCTTCCCTTTTTTTCATATAAAACCTGCCAATATTTAGGTTAAAGTAGAAAAAGCAATTCTTTTACTTAAATTACAAAACATGGAATGTGTTATCGTACACATTTCAATTTAGACGTAAAAGAAACATTATTTTATCAAAGATGTCATTAAAACAATTTCACGCATCCACATACATTTGTGGCTGTTTGTTTTGTGACCCTCACCATGTCATTCACTCTATTTGTGTGCCCCTCAAAGCGCCTCACTACCTTCCTGGTTTCAATGTCTATGATAGATATGCTGAAATCATCACACGCTGCAGCTAACATACAGCTGGAAACAAATTAAACCACTTTTGTTATTTTTTATAAAGTATCTTTGTTTTAAAAAATTACCCTGTAAATGCACAAATATAAGCTTCAGACTGTACCATTTTTTCAAGTGCCTACCTGTGTCTCTTATAAGGTCAGGATTAAAATCTATTTATAATTCATGGAGATAGCATCATATTTGCCAAAAACAACACCTTACCTTTCTCTGTGTAATAAAATACTGGCAACCTGTGCTTCCACTTTGAGTGTCTCCAACAACTGCTTTTGCTTGAACTTCCAGAATTTAATTGTGAAATCTGCTCCTGCTGTTACTGTGACTTGATTCAGACTATCTACAGCTACTCCTCTTACAGCACCATCATGGGCTAAAACAATAAAGCAAATTCATCTGAAATCAATAGTGAGTTCCATCCTGTCTTTAGAATTTTGCAAGTACAGAACATCACAAACGTGTTTAAACCAGTTTCACCCTAACACCTTTGCTAGTGCTATAATGGGGCTTGCTATGCAAGTCCCATTTGTCTATTGTTTTTTTTTTTTTAATGTTTGGCATCAATCATAACCAACAGTTAACATGGTGATATATCCTGCAAGTAGTAAAACATTTTTGTTCTACACCTATATAAACACACACACACACAAACATGCGCACTAAAATAACCATGTAGGGAGACAACAACAAAAGAATAGAAAGTAACAACTGAACAGAAAACCTTACCAGAAGGATTGCCATAAGAACCTCTGTGTAGTCCTGACTGCATGTTGTAGACGTCCACATGGCCTGAGCTGTACCCTATCAAACCAAAGTTGCCACACGATGTCAGGCATACACACTAGGAGAAATTGAAAATACATTAGAATACGTACATTTGATGGACATACAAATGAGCCATATAATTCGATACCTGCATATTCTTTTACTTTAAGAATAAAGACCATTAAATTAAAATGGTCATAATATATTGAAAATTAACTTATTCCTTAGTTTATTACAAACATATCTATAACACACACTGTCACACATTTACAATTAGAAAAAACACCATTTTTTCATATTATCCTCTTGCTATAACATATTTATCTCTAAAACAATGGTATACTCAAAAACCTATACGTACCAGTGCCACTGTCCCACCATGTTCTTTACTGGTCAGTCTCTGATGTGCCAGCCTGTGTTTGCCCATTGATGACCTCTGGCAATTCCATGTGGTCACTTCTCCAAGACCTCTGTGGCAGGCAAGTATATTATCCCAGTCACTTTGTCGGGATATCTCTGAAATGAAATTTAAATAAACAACAACTCTTACACTGCAATGTGTTACATTCAAGAGCTCTGGCACAATTTGTCACCTGAATGTGGTGTAAAGTATAACTATCATCCGTTGCATGAAGTTCCAAAGTCACAGGCACCACTAAGTCCAGAGTCTGACAAAAAGGACATGCTGTGGCCCATGTCACAAAACCACCATAAGTAACCAAAAGTAAGTAAGTACATATATTTCTGGGAATTGATGCAAAATCTGTGAGTTAACCATTCATTAAGAATTTTATAACAATAAACATATTATACAACAGAATACAAACACAATTTCAAGCTTAACATTTCACATGCTGCTATTTCATCCTAGTAAGCACCTGAGTCAAAGTCTGTGATGGGAGGCATCATGTGTTGATCCAATTTTAACCCAGTCTTCTTGGTTTCTGCTTTGTTATATGATGCTCTTCCCAGGCTCTTATTGTGCCTGTCATGCACTGTTGAAAATGACCTCAGAGTACTATCCTGACCTGGAATATTGCAATTTAATATGCAGCATTCTTCATATGTTCCCCTAGTTTGCATCAAATTTAAAAATAAATCAATAAATAAATAGACCCAATCTGGTAGAAAACAGTGTATGATAATTAAAGCTATTGTAAATAGATAAGGAAATATGTTTATCATGAAAGTATTTCATAGCAAATTCATATCAAATTATTATTACCCATACTTAATCTTTGTACATACCTGCACTCAGGATATTCTGCCCATTATTGCCATGGAAACGGACCTTTGAAGGAGGGGCACTGTGTCCAGTGCGTTGTCGTAGCAACCTTCCTCCACCATCTGGCTGGTCAAATATCCACACCTACATCGAAATGTGTATTCAAACAATATGTTAAGACATTTCTATGATATGAAAACAAAAACATTTGAATATTGTTTAATCACTAAAATATTTACCTTTTTCATATACAAAATGGCAATATAATTTTAAGTAAAACATGTCCACATTGATAGTCACTACTTTGCCTAGTCTGGCATAATAATCACGACAACACATCATATCTGAAAATGAACAACAAAAAATTACCTTGAGTGAATTATCTGCAGACGAGGTGACCATTAGGGGTTCTGATGGAAGACATTTCATTCCTGTTACAGACCCACTGTGGGCCCCTCTCATCTGACTCAGCAGCCTCTTTTCCTCCAGGTTCCACAAGGCAATGTGTCCTGCCACACTGCCTGTCGCCATTACTGGGGAGCCATCTACAATAAGAAACCAAGAACTAGTAAATGTACATATAACTACAGCATATGAGGTTTAAGATCACCTTGGGCAGCATGTTATAGCATAGACATCTGACTCAGATTTTTCTTGTTTGTTGATTCTGAAGTATCAACTACTACCACCACCCATGTAACCGTGTCACCCAACAAACCACTGATTGTACTTTCATTAACTCTAGGATGTAAAAAGGACTTTAAATATTTCTTCATCTTATCTCAGCACCTGTTCTGAATGCCACAGTAGTAACTGGACCCCAATCCTGCATGAATTTCATCAGAGTCTCATCATATTTCAAATTATGCAGAATTACTTGTCCATCAGCTAAACCAATAGCGGCCACATCTACAGCTGGGGCCTAAAATGAAAAGAGCATGTTACAAAACATGCTAAAAGTTTATTTTCCAGTGTTAATGTTTATATGACATTCTAAAACTTCTGGAACAATGAATAAACAGATTGTACTTACAGTCTTTAAAATTAATTTAGAATACAATGAAAAAGAGCTAAATTAACAGAAATTTACCACTCATTATAGAAATTTTGCTTTATCAGAAAAAAATTCTTACCTTATTTAAGATTTAGTGTACAAATCTTAAAATCTACTACTAATGTCCATAATAATTTTTTAATCAGAATGTAATGTACAGTACGTATCAAATGATTGTCTGGGATGAATTGCTATTCAATGCCTATTTTGTCTGACCAAGGGCTAACCTGTTCTAAAACAGTAACAGCTTGTTTCCACCCTGTAAAACTGTAGATCAGTTTCCCAGTTTTGATGTTCCACAGTTGTAAAGCGCCCTGCTTGCTGCCAAGCAAGATCTTGTTCAGGTAAGTGCTAGGGTGAAATGCAGCTGTGATGGCAAAAACCTCCTTCTCAAAACCAAGGGAAGAGTATAATTCTAAAACACAAAGATATATCACAAAATAAATCTAAAAAAAATAAATAACATATTTTTACATTCCGTAAAAAAATATCTGGATATCAGAATATGTATAACTCCTTATGCCAATCTAATTTTGTAATTAACGACAGCCATACATGCATTCAAAATGCTTGTTGCTCTTAAGTGATAGAAAAAACACTAAATACTTCCTTCACACCTACCTTCACTTTGAATATCCCATATATTAACATAACTGTCTTCATCAACTGATATTAAATGGTTACCAAATGGTAAGAGAAGGATCACATTGCTCTCATGGCCCTCATAAGTGTGAGATACCTAAATGAGACACAAATGTCAATTTATCATATGATTGGCAGTATCGGCAACTTGTTAAACATTTAAATATACAGATAACTGAAAAAAAAAAGGAATAATAATCATTATAAATTTCATCAGAAATAATATAGTTCAGTTTAATGCACCATTATGTTCTTATTCACCAAGAAGGTTATCAAGGGGGCCCATTTTTAAGGCCTGGATGTCAGCAAGAGCTCAAGAATGAAGGGGCTGAAGGGCAGGGTCATCCCTGATGAATCTTTCCAGCAGTGCACAGAGGTGCAACAGAGAAATGTAGAAAAGTGCATTACACCTGAAGAGAACTTCGAAGGGGAAGTGATGCAGTTTGCTATCATAATAAATTGTTTGTGATACCAGCCCCGTTACTTTTGAGACACACATCATATTATTGGAATCTTACATTGTCCTTTTAAGAGACATGTGCACAGAGAAACAGTTAGATGTCACAACAGCTATGTTTAGTGAAGGTCACAAGCAGGTTATCAGCAGCCATTTACCTCCCTTCCTCTTGTGAAGGCCCTAATGACATTCTTACATCCAGTAAAGACAAGGTAGGCATCTACAGCAAGGCAGTTTATATCATCTGGATGAGAATTGCCTAAAAATTTTAACGATAAGACACTGACTTAAAAAAAAACACATCAATGATTTTTAATAAATGTTCTCTTTTTAAAATTATTTTCAATAGTATCTTCAGCAAATATAACATTACTTTTGATTATGAATTATGATTATTGATCATTAAAACGTATATGCTCATAAATAAGCATAAAGAACAATCTTGAACAGACACCAAAGGAAGCTGGGGTAGCGTTAGCAATTTTTTTCACTTAGCCAAATCACCACTTTTTTGTCAATTTGCTATCCAAATGACTATAATTTAACTAAAACAAGTCAAATTAAGCCCTTTTTGTTTAGCCAATTTAAGTCAGTTTTAACATTTGGCTAAATTGGCGAGTGTTAGCGCTACCCCAGGGAAGTGTCTATATACCACCAATAAGCAGACTTAAACAAGGAAGTATGAGCAGAGTTAGAGACACTTATGTAAGAAATAATTGAAAGAACCACATACAATTTCTGCTAATGCACAGGTCTAAAATAAAATAACATTCAAGTTCTTATAATATACTTACTAACACTCACAATTCCTAGTTTGGAACACTGGAAATAAAATGATAGCAAAATAGAATTATTGTAACAAATCACTTTAATCCTGCCTGACATAAAATATTAAAGAAAGTAATAAAGAACTTAAGTGCAGGTTATGGTTTGAAAGGAAACATACATGTAAAAAGGGTAAACTCTGTAGTATGCTTCTAAAATGAAAAGGCATGTAACCGGCATCACAGAAATGTTTCTACTAATGACAGATGCTGCCAAATGAAACTGCAGATTAAAACAAAAATATATATCAACATCATCACCAAAACAATGGGGTATTATGTATATTGTCTACAACTTCTACAGTAACTCAACAACTTACGTTGTAAGTATGGAATGCTTTTCCGACACAAGTCACGACATAATTCTCTTTATGTTTCTGGTGATATCGCACGGCTAGAGGAACATGATTGCTATTGAAGCCTAAGGCTCGATATCCACAAAAAATTCGACTTGGCGAACCCATTTTTACGTCCAGAAACCAGGAAAACAACACATGGTTTCAACTGCAAGTACTCACATGTACACAATGACGAACAGACAGACGATCGAAAATGAGGCTCGGATTTCCCTTCCGGTAACGGTTTGTAGCCTACCAGAAGATGATCGACACACTGGATTATCGTTTTTTATCATGATAACGTTAACGTTTTGCAAGCGTACTGACATCTGTGGGGTAAAATAATATTTCTTTTAATATGACAGGAAGTGTATGGTTATACATCTTGGTCTTGATGGTGGATAGTCTGTCTTTTTGTATAAATGAGCCCACGGCAGAAAATGAGGCACCCAGGGGCACCTGTTCAAAGGCTGTGGATGGTGTACATTGTGATGAAAATGTAGTTGTTGGTGAACCAGGGCAACTTGAGTTGACAAGGCTTGATGGTGTTGAGGTAAATTAATTTATTGTTTTTTTCAGATAAAAAGTTGTTAGGCCCATATCGTTCTCATCTGGTCAATATTATTATAATTATTTTAATAATGATAAAATACACTTATTATTTAATTTTATTGAAAATATATAAAATATATAATATTTTTAAAGATATTCATAGATAGATTAAATAAGGAAGACATTTGTAATAGTGTAAATTTTATAATTTTCTAACTATTACCAACTTGAAAACATATTTTTTTTCTGAATCAATATACCAGCATATGTGAGGGTAGGGAATACCCCCCCCCCCCCCTTAATCACCAATCACCATGATTAAAACAGCTCAATCACCAAGATATGTTCAGGCCAATCACGTATCACCAAGAATTCCTGAATAGCGTTCCATGCAGAATATTGGGCTCAAATAATGCATCACGCTCGAAAAATAAGGCCAGTCACACAGAACACAAAAGGTATTCCCTACCCTCATATGTGCCTTTTCTTTTCTTGTCATCTTACTGTTGCATGTTTAGGTAGATGAGACTGCCTGACAATGCAAAGTCTCATAAGTCTGAAAGTTCATTGGTTTAAAGAATGAAAAAGTTTTAATTGTTTGGAATAAATTACATCTACTTCAAAAGATTTTTTTTTTTGACAACATCACTGATGGGATTTGCTTTTTTTTTTTTTTTTTTTGGAATGACTGCCATTTGAGATCAAACCAATATACTTGTGGACAATTTCAAAAGGTTTGGGATCAGAGAATGTTTAGACCTTTGATCCTTTGGGTCTATATAAAGGCCCCATTCATAATGGATGATATGAGTACTTACTGATCTGCCGACTAAATATGGCCGATCACAGATCAAAAGTGAAGTCGCTGATTTCTGATGGTCTCCCTGCCTCCACACATGCTGTTGCTGCAGGGGCCTAGCAATTAAACCTTGGAGCTGAGATTTAATCCGTTGTAAGTTTAATTTGTTTTTTTCAATCATGAATTTCTATTTGACATCCCTCTTTGTTTATGACCAGGAGGGGTATGTAACATCCTTGGACATAGAACCAGGAAGATCATTGCAGTTGAAGACTCTTAGTATGAAGCCACTGGTATTTGGTAAAACGGAGTGCTTATTTCATATTTCATTTTATTTTTTAGAAGAATATTTATGGTAGTAATTTTTTAACTTGCATTGCATTTGAGACAATAAAAATAAATATGATATATTATGCAGAATTTTTGTAGCTTAAGTTTTCTCATTTGAATTAATAAATTATGCAAATATTGTGAACATTTGTATTTTAGAAATTGTGGACTTCTTGACAACAAGTGAAAGTGACCATTTCATAGCCCTTGCTAACAACATAGGTCTGCAAACCAGCAAAACTCACAGTGACCGAGCCAATAAAAACTCGTTCACTTTATTTGACCAGGATGGAAACAGGAGACTTAGCCTAGATGAGGTTTGTAACAAAGATGTGAAACACCTTTCAGTTGGTGATGTATCTTGCATCATTATTTTTAACTAAAATTGGCTAACCTCCTTCATGAAAAAGTTTATCAACATACGTACACATCTTAGCTTGTGAATATTTTGTCACACTTGTAACAATTATAAATGAATTGATTCATATGCTCAACAAGTCTATAGTTCTTTTGATATTTTGCACTTTGCATTCCAGATGAAGCTAACCATAGAAAATAGTTTTGATGTTTATCTAGACCATGAAGATATAAGAAAAATGTAGGTCAGAATAGACAAAAAGCAAACAAGCTCATTTATGCTTTCTGTGATTTTTATTGTTTGTTTTTGCTATTCTGTTCCTAAATACATGTACCTCTTATCACTTTTTTCCTAAAGTTTCAAACATCAGTTACAACTTCTGATTAAATGTTATTTTTACAAAATATACTATTATGTGATAAGCATGACTTTACAGTAAATGCATGTATAAAATGCTTCTCAGAGATTTATTGACATAATTTCTATAATAACTTAGTAAGTTTACTGTTATTTCTCTTGCAGGTACACGGACTTAGACATGGACCAAGATCATGACAGTTTGTATCCATTATTTTGGCAAGCATTTTATCTCCAATTAAGAATTAAAATTTTGTTCAAATGACACTAGAAAAATTTTAATTCAACTGTTTTTAAAAGTTTGTAAATGTGATAAAAATAAATATTTATATTATGATGTACTTCACACTTTAAAGATGAAATCACACCAGATGAGATCCAGAAAACAAGCCCAGCAGATATGGGGGAATATCTTCAGAAAAAAATGATACAGTACCCAGAGAAGAAGTCCCGCTTTAGTGAACAAGTGTGGTTAAGGCCGGATTTTTCAACAGATGAAGTTTTCCAGCATGTGCAATTGAGGTATTACCTGTTTTACCATACACATAATTATATAAGAAATTCTAAAATAATATTTGAATCTGTCATTGACTTAAGCTGCGTTCACATGAAAAATCTATTTTCTAAAAATCTAAAAATCTATTTGCGGTATCTTGTGATCACAGTCTGTGCCCTGAATACCCCGCGGCATAATTACTGGCAGCGCCGAGAATTAATTACAGCTTTGGAAGCAACTGGCTCGCGCTGCCCGTAATTACGCCATGGGGTATTCAGGGCATAGACCGTGATCACAAGATACCGCAAATAGATTTTTAGAAAATAGATTTTTCATGTGAACGCAGCCTTAAAGGTCCAATGCCCATAGCTGTGTGACTAGACCACAGATTTTATTGTGAGATGCAGTTATACATAGAACCTCAAAAAAGTCAAAGAATGAATATGATTCCCTTTTTTTCAACATTGTTCATTGCTTTGGCATCTTATTAGAATTTTTGTGGCAAACCAGACTTGATTTAGATAAGCATTTCTAGGAGCATTGTTATATGTCAGGTCAAGTGGGCATTGTTGTTTGTCAAAACATACACTAAATAGGTGTACTGTACTTTTTTATTTTTTAGAGTTCAAAAGTTAACAAAGCTTCCTGAAACCTTGATAAAGAGGAGTCATGTACAGGTAAACAACATGCTTAAATGAATTTGATTTAAGGAATTATTTGTTAAAATGCTGTGTTCAAGTTTTATGAGGTAATTCCAGAATGGCAGCAACTCTTATCTTACTTTATTTCTGTAGGTTGTCAAGTATGGTTTGAAGGGACACTATAATGCCCACTTAGACTCCACTCCATTGAATACCAAGGTTCCTTGCTGTACAGAAACCACTAGGTGGAAGGGGAATTGCAGAATATGCAGGTATTCCTAATCCACTACAAAAATTAAACTATGGGTTGTTGGTCAGATAATTATAATAAAAAAC